CCCGCAACCCCGGCACCCCCGCCCACAGCTCGCCCAACAACCACATCCCGCCCGCCACGAACTCGTTCCCGCCAAACCCTCCGCCAAGCACCTGACAGAACCTCCTCACGAACGCCTGCACCCTCTCCCTGTCTGCGTCGCCCTTCAAAGACTTGAAGAGGAGGTTGAGGTACATCGCCTGCTTGTTGCTGCTGAAGAGTCGGGGATCGAAGAGCGTTGCGTAGAGCGTGCGGTAGTACCGCGCGATGACAGCCTTCGCCGCGTCAGGCCTCCCCTCCCCTCCCTCCTTCGCCTTTCCCTTCTCCTTCCCCTCCTTCGCCTTTCCCTTCTCCTTCCCCTCCGCCGCCCTCCCCTCCGCCTCCGCCGCCTGCAACCCCGCCACAACATGCCACACCAGCATCAACGCCTGCACCCCCACATTAAACGTGCTCGTATGGCTAATCAAAAACAGCGTGTCCATATGCCTCTCAAACTCCACATCGTGCCCCCCAAACTTCGCAAACGGCATCGCGCGGTTGACGCCCGTCAATATCGCGCTCACGAGCCGCGAGTTCTCGTCCTGGACCTCTGCGAAGCCCGCTGCGCCCTGCACGGACTTCGGGCCGGCGCGAGTGGCGCGGCGCAGGGCTTTGCCTTCGGCGCCGTTGAATGCGTCGCGGGCTTTGTTCACGCCTGCGCCTTTGGTGGGTTCTGGTGCGCCAGCGCCTTCGTCGTCGGAGAGGTCGTTGGATGGGGAGGCGGAAGAGCGTTCGCCGACGACGTCGCGGAAGAGCCTGAAGTACACGTCCATCAGCGCGCGCGCCGCCTCGCGGTCCTTCGGTGCGGCGGACAGCACGATCTGGTTGAACGTGATAGCGGCGTAGTACCGCGCGTGGACGTTCCATGTGCTTCTATCCTGCGGTCGCGCTGGTGCGGGTGCGCTCTTCTTCTTGTCCTTGCCGTCGTCGTCGTCTGTGAACTTGATATGCGTGTTCGGTTTCGACGATGCGGAGGAGGATGCGGAGGGCTGGGTGAGGGTAGATGCGGCGGCGGACGATGCGGCGGGGCGCATGATGAGCGCTGTTGTTTCGCGTATGACGATCGTTTTCATGTCGGGGAATGATTGGAGGAGTTGGAGGATGTAGTAGGATGCGCGGGAGCAGACTGCTTTGTCTGTGTCGCCCTGTAGTCTCAGAGTTAGTGTGTGTAGACAGTACGTTAGGAATGAGGGCTTACGAGCTTGTTGATGAGTAGACGCAGTAAGTTGTGTTCTTGTTCGGGACGCTCGCGGAGGAGTTGGTAGATGAAAGTGAGAGCTTGCATCCGGACGTAGGGCAGTGTGTCGAGCGAAAGCATCTACTTGTTATCAGCACCCGTACAACCGAAAGCCGGAACACAAGGCTGCGTACCTCCAGAACTTGAAGCAAAGAGAAGAAGTACTTCTTCAACCAATCCTCAAAGTACCACACCAGCAGATGCTTGTTCGTAACGCCAGGATGCAGCAACGGCTGATCACGGAAATACTTGAGCTTACGCGGCGGCGAGCCTCCGCCGACCCACCAATCGACGATAGCTCTTGCGGCCTTCAACCTCTCGTCCCTGCTCCCGGCGCCTCCTTTCCCCTTGCCCTTGTCGCCCTCTCTGCTCTGCCCACCTTTGCCCTTCTCCGCCATATTCTTCAGCACCTCCAACGCTCGCGTGTTGTGTAAGGGCGAGCTCTGCGCCATGAGCGTCAAAGCGCTCAGACGATCGCTCAGAGTACCGGACGAAAGGATGTTTTTGAGGAAGGCCTGGTCGGACGTCGAGGAGACCAGACCGGAGTTCGGGCCGCCCGTGGAGAAAGACGAGAGCTCTGCAGTGTGGAGTGAAGCAGCGGTCGAAGTCAGAGACGCGATCTGAGCGGCTGTAGGAGTGGACAAAGCCTCGGCCGGAGCGGGGAGAGGTTCGACGAGGTTGTACCAGTCGGAAGTTGGCGCGAACAGCATCTTGCCGCTCTTTGGCGGCGCGATATCCGGGAGTGTGGCTGCCGACGTCGACGGCTGGGGTGGTGGGACATAGTCGCGGCTCTTCTTCTCCTTCTTCTCCTTGCCTTTCTCCTTGCCCTTCTCCTTCTTCTCCTTCTTCTCCTGCGCCTTCTCCACCGGTTTGGCGGGTTGCGGGGCAGGTTTAGTGGTGATAGCAGCAGCAGTCGGCTCCTTTGCGGCCTTTTTCTCCTTCTTGTCCTTCTTCTGCTTCGGAGTAGATGAAGAGGGCGCGGCATCACCAGACGATCCCAAGTTGAGGCCCTTCAAGAAGCGCGAGACGTCCTTGGACAAGTTCGCCTATTCGACGCGTTAGGTAAAGCTCAAAAAGTAAAATAATAGACGCTTACATCTCCGGCAACATCACCCTGCACGACCATCCCATCCTTGACCCCACTCAACATCTGCACGTCCCCATCATCCCCGCCCAGCGCTTGAACCTGGTCCTTCAACGCATCCTTCGACTTGGACTTCTTCGCGGGCTTGCTGGGGCCAGCTTTAGGCTCAGAGTGTGTCGTAGTTCCGCCCTTCTCTTTGCGTATACGCCCCATAGCGAGTGGTAGAGTAAAGTAGGAGGATGATCGCGGTACGCGACTTGGACGCGCCAGACGCGATTTGCGCGAGCATTTTGGCTTCGGACCGGTGGGCCGGAAGCGCGTCGCCACTCGGCGCGCGCGTTGGCTGTTGTTCTTCCGACCCACCACCGCTCGTTCTTGGCGAGATGCCCGCGTACCTCGCGCATATGTATACCAGTCATAGCGCCGAGTGCGAATACCCGGAATATGATATACTTCTCGCGATATAATTTACCCGTCCTTAGGTGTCGCTGTCTGGCCGCATCAGTACCCATACAACGCGCCCGAGCGAGCTTGGCCAATGTCATGACTTGCTACAATGACATCTACGCCGAAGACACCCTTGAACTCATACCAATGAAGACCCTGGGCTTCTTCAGCCGAAGTCAGCTCTCGCAATGTCCCCGCTTCATTGTCAACCTTCATCGATCATCTACGTGTGATCCCCACTAGCCCAGAATCCCGCTATACCGGGTATTCATACACTTTACGCGTCCCTGACCCTTCTACTAGGTCTTCTACCGGAGATATCGGAAGGGTCCCCAAGACAAACGAAGCGAGACGCTCCCGCCCCGGTGTACTCGCAAACACCCAACTCGCTCTCCGTGGCGCACTGCGGACGTCAACTGGCCGACCATACCCGCTTCCTCCTGACCCGAATGCGACTACGCCCTGGCCTCTATGCCTCACTCAGCGCTATCGCCTCTCAACCGTTTACGCGCTGCTGTATCCTGACAAGCAGGATCGCACGGGCCGAGCGCGCCGACGGCAGAACCTCGGCTTTACCGCCCTAAGCGTCCCATCCGCTCCCCGCATGACCATCGTCCTCTCAGCACTCTTAAGCAGAGTCTGGGGTACTCTCAGACCTCAGTTTCTACCTCTCGTCTGGAAGGTACCCCGTCATGTCGGCGCCGTCGTACTTGAAGATATCTGGCACCAAGATCGTCGATGGTGAAGGCAAGGAGATCATCCTTCGCGGTGCTGGTCTTGGTGGATGGATGAAGTGCGTACTTTCCTTGATCTATCGCTATCTTTTTACTGTGTCAGCCCTGACGGTGTGCTACAGCATGGAGAACTTCATCTCTGGATACCCCGGCTGCGAGTTCCAGATTCGCGAGACGCTCGCCGACACGATCGGCGCTGAGAAGTCCGAGCTCTTCTTCGACAAGGTGCGTCCATCTGAGGGATCACTTGCATGTACATGACTGACTTGTGTTGACACAGTTCCTCGAGTACTTCTTCCAGGAGGAAGACGCCAAATACTTCAAAAGCCTCGGCCTGAACTGCATCCGCATCGCGTTCAACTACCGCCACTTCGAAGGTACGCTCACCGTCTATACCTCAACACTGCCCATTCTAACGCAGCACTCTCCATAGATGACATGAACCCGCGCGTCCTCAAAACCTCCGGCTTCAAACACCTCGACCGCGTAATCGACCTCTGCGCCAAGCACGGCATCTACACAATCCTCGACCTGCACACCGCGCCCGGAGGGCAAAACACGGACTGGCACGCCGACGCCGGCACGCACATCGCCAACTTCTGGCTGCACAAGGACTTCCAAGACCGCGCGGTGTGGCTCTGGGAGGAGCTCGCGAAGCACTACAAAGACAACACCTGGATCGCGGGGTACAACCCTTTGAACGAGCCCACCGACGCGCGCCACACCCGGCTCGTCAGCTTCTACGACCGTCTGCACAAAGCGATCCGCGCCATCGACCCGCACCACGCCATCTTCCTCGACGGCAATACCTTCGCGTCCGATTTCTCTCACTTCGGCGAGGCGTACAAGGCGTGGGACAACACCGCCTACTCGATCCACGATTACAGTTTGTTCGGCTTCCCGGCGAGCCCGGAGCCGTACAAGAGCAGCGATGTGCAGCGGCATCGGTTGAGGCGGAGTTACGAGAAGAAGCGGGAGTGGATGGACAAGAATGGGCTCTGTGTGTGGAATGGGGAGTGGGGGCCTGTGTATGCGCGGACGGAGTATGAGGGGGATAAGACGGATGCGATCAATGAGGAGCGGTTGACTGTGCTTAAGGATCAGCTCGCCATCTACAACAAGGTGCGTCCCTTCCCTTCTTGCGATTCACTGTTGTAACAGAAGCTCACGCGTAAGCGCAGGACCGCCTGAGCTGGTCGATCTGGCTCTACAAGGACATCGGCTTCCAAGGCATGGTCCACGTCTCGCGCCAAACGCCCTACATGACCCTCTTCAAATCCTTCCTCGCCAAAAAGCACAAACTAGCCGTCGACGCCTGGGGCGCGGACTCCTCCGCCATCGACCACGTCTACCAGCCGCTCATCAAGCTGATCGAGCAGGAGATCCCAGAGAAGAACCAGACGCTGTACCCGTGGCCCGTGTGGAAGCTCGACTCGCGCGTGGGGCGGCTCGCGAGGAATATTCTGGTGAGCGAGTTCTTGGTGCAGGAGTGGGCGGACCATTTCAAGGGGAAGAGCGAGGAGGAGATCGTGGAGATTGCGAAGAGCTTTGCGTTTGAGAATTGTTTGCATCGGGATTCGCTGAACAAGATTCTTACGGATAACGCGACGCTCGTGTCGAACGGCGCGTAGGCTTTCCATACCCCATGTACCATACACATCGCGAATGAACTGGTCATCCCATACTGAAGCAGACATTCGCCGCGGCCAGACAAGCCGACGACCCGAAGTGGCGCGAGCTTCACACATGAAGCGGATACAAGAAACCCTCGTGAATGATTGATTGATAATA